GTATGTGTCAAAACATATGATCGAGAATCTTATCTGAAATTGAGAATCTTTCGACCAAAAAAACTTCATATCGTTCTAACTCAAGCTAAAAACATTATAATCGTGATCAGCACAGTTTACTACTATTGACGCTGTATTTTGCTAAAACTCCAAAATGATATGACAGGATGTTCCCTTGTAAGTATGGTATTCAATAAAGGGCTCATGGTTGAACGAAATAAAATACTTCACTAGTCGGCAGGTATCTTGCTGTAGTAGTACTTCAAAAATAGTGTGAAAAAGTATTTTTAAAAAATAGGATATTTTCGATTATTTTTTTGTTTTCTATGAAAAGAGGGAATTCTGTGTCGAATGATGCACTGCTGTAAGTGCAAATCAAAAGTCAAAATACAAACATGTGTGCTATCTTGTATAAAAGTAATCTCTGACGTGTTAAACTGCTATTGCTGAGGCTCACGAAAACTCTTTTAAAAGCACAATGAATTTATAAAACACTTATCGTTCACATCTCATCCCTAACACCATGTGAGCCTTTCTGATCATTTAACGAGAATAGAAATAATTGTTGTTCTCGTACGTATACACTCTGATTCATGACTATCATAAGTTCTTACCGTTGATATTTTTAAAGACACTCAACACTCTATTTTCACCAATATTCTTACCCGTATCCACCCTTTAGTTCGATTTTATGAATTTTGTTAAACATAATACACCTAGTAAATACATATTCTTACCAAAAACAGGTAGTTTCGTTGATGTTATATCTGAATTGAACTATTACAAAGTTCGAGCTATTCAGTTGTAATTTGTAGATAAATTTTTTTTATCTCAGATCGTTGATCTTTATCTATAATTAATCTCATTATGTAGATCAAAGTAAGTATAGCTGAAACAATTACATTGAAGTGAATGGCGCTGACGACAACAAATTAGATTTCCATTCACAGATAAATATATGAATTGAAACTTGTATACAGTAAAATTAAATATTTCTATTCGTAATGCAGACAAAATAAGATAGTGATATCTTAAATATTCACTTTTCCCTGGTTTGATAGCATCTTATTAAAATTTCTAATATTTCACTTACTAAACTGACCCATACATCTCTCACTTAGTTCGTCAAAATCAATTATTACAAAACAACTACGTCTTACTGAAGTATTAAACTGCGCAGCGTTTTGACTACTACTCGGAAAATATTTTCAAGAGTTTAGTGTGCGTATATAAAAAGAATTTTCTTTTCTAAAGCATATACAATTTCAAGTCATAAACATATTTATATTTCAAGCATCTATATATTACTCAACGATCGGTTAGCGTACAAACGTTAAGATACCACTTAAAAAAAAAACGATAGTATAATTTTTTGTTAATTTTATTTTTTGAGCAAAAAAAAAACAATAAGACAATATTGCGCTAATGAAAAAGAACATAGCACAAGATTAACAAAAACAAAAAAAATGTTGATGAATAAAAAATGAAAGAAAAAAATAACAACTGAAAGAAAAATACCACCAGGTTTTCTTTCATATATATGATGTATGTAATCGGTAAAGAAACAACAATAAATCCTCAAAAGTCCCATTCCCAAGTGGGAAGAAACAAGCCCAACAAATGTGATTGGGTCAAGATAAAGTAAAAACAACCATATTCGAGTTTTCCAAAGAAAAAATATCAAAAACAAATAACAGAAATAATTTTTTTGTTGCCTGAGTAATACGTGTCAAAAAAGATAAATGATCCTCAGACAACATCGAAGCAACAACCAAAAAGAAAAAATTACATACTATTCACTCGTAAACAAAAAAAATCAGGTTAAAGTAGTGTAACATATCACAACAATGATCAATGATCAGAGAAAAATTTGCTATAAAGTACGAGAGAAAAAAAAAAATCATCATTGTTTTCATATAGATATGGTGTAATCAGTATAGAAATTTTGTTAATGAAAAATAATCAATTTTTTGGGCAAAAGTTTTTTTTGCAAAAGTAAAGCGAAAGCGGCGATTATCAAAGTGAACCATAGTGTTACTGTAACCTGTTGTTTAACTAGTTTTGTTTATATGTGGTTTGAACAGCTCACATGCACACCTACACCAAAATGATTTGTATTCGTATGTGATGCGCGAAAACAAATCAAAAATAAAATCTTTTTTTTTTAAATTTTCAAACAAAATATATTAGTGAGTCATTGATAAAACATTTCTTTGATGTTCGTTTGTATCGTTATCATCATCTTCATCAGATATCGGTGCAGCATCCGCATCTTCATCTAATAAACCAAATTTATTCGATAATTGTAACTAAAAAAAACAAAATAAGAAAAAATGACAAGAACTATTCATCAGCACTACTATATTTACTTATCAATACTGTTCAAGAAGATATATAGCGAGCAAAAATTCTCACAAAGAAACAATGAACAGAAGACATAAACACTAATTTTATTAACATTTTCTCGAAAACGTCCTTGTTCTGCGCAGTTTATACAAGCAAAACTTGAGACTGACCTCCATAAGAATCTTTATCCTCATCCATTCAACGAAACATTAGCAAGTTTGATCATTCTTTATTGGCAGACGACATTTATATACTTAATTTATAGAACAAGAGTAATTTGAAAAGGTTCTTAATAGATTTGTTTGTATGTAAAGTAGAAGAAGAGTGTAAAACGATGTCTTGTAATAAGAAAAAATTGAAGCAAATTAAACAACAGAAATATGCTGAAAATGAGTACGAATATGTCCAACAATCATGCTTTAGGAGGATGGTGGCAACAATAAATGCGAACAACAAGATTCGTTAAGATAACAAATCTTAAATAGTTAAGAAGAATTCTTATTCGCTTCACGTAAGACGTAAAACAAAAACAACAATAAAACATAAGCAAAAGACTCTGTGTAGATCTATAAATAATTTAATAATAATTTAATTGTTTCCATGTCTAGAGTTTTCAAATTAAAATATTTTGTTCAAATATAAATGAGTGAGTTATTAACACACTTTTTTTAATCTTATTTTCTCGATACTTACAGTTATCACCGCAATTCGTCTATGTATTCGACAGTCACACATTGTTTCATTATTCAAAAATTATTTGAAAACATGACGCACATTATGAACGAGTAAAAACCATAACGGCAACAAACAGTTAAAGTTTAGTGATTTTTCAGCTTTTAAGTAATCTTTATCGAGATAATTTGGCGACTGAGCGAAAGAGATAGGTAAAGAAATGTTCAGTGAATTCAAAGCTATCTTGTCGATCGGATCGTCTATACATATACCATCTAAACGGCAAAAGATGTGCGGTGATTGGAAAAAAAGCAGAGAAAAAAGATGAATAATTAATAAAAGTATTATTGAATAACAAATTAAGAACCTCTCTTCCACTTTCTTTCTCCAAGATAAATGAAGTCTGCTTTAACCCTCATATTCCCAGGTGTGCGATATTCATCTAGTATCTGGCGTTCGCACGAATCCCAGATCAGAATATGAGGGTTAAAGACAAGAGCCTCTGGTAAAAACAGTAACTTTCGAATATAATTTGGCTCGTGTAGGAGGACTCTAAACTGCAAAAGTGGCAACAATTCTCTGAACCGAGGATGGAGAAGACATTTTCTCAAAAAATAACTCCCATCTGTCTTGCGGGACAGTATCTTAAATATTGTACATGTTTAATGAACATTCTCTTCAAATCTCTAAAGGTATACTGTTTACGGGTTCTAGATTTTTTTACTTCTGATAAACTATACAACGTTATTTGAGCTGAAATTTTCACTTTTTAATCCACAAGGGCTACGGTGTTAATTTATTTGCAAACAATGAAATAACATGCGAATATTGATTATAGAGGGTTTTATAGAGAAGAATTTTTCAATCTTTTAAACTCAGAGTGTATGTAAGCACTGAAAAATGAGATAAAAAAGTACCTCATTCTTCATAATTCATTCGTTATAAACAGAACTTACTCGATTCGTCTCTGCATCTGCTGCTGTCATTTGTCGAGGTTTACTAAATCTGAAACAAAAAAACGATGCATAAAGGATTCGTAGACAGTAAACTTATTAAAAAAGTGTACCTGGGATGCCCTGACGAATCGGATCCACCCGCACTACTATTATTATTAGATGCGCCACGATTACGCGATAGTTCACCGGATGACGACTGTGGATGACGGCTGTGTTCATCGGAATACCGAGCACTTGTTTCGTTACCATAAGTTTCTCTTGAAGGACCTTAATTAAAAAACACTTAATGATTAAATATATTTCCTTATGTGAAATCGAATATAAGTATCTTCATTGAAACTTTGAATAATATCATGTTAACATTGTCATTTTGGCTTAATACTAAAACGATGCACATACCTGCTTGTCTTGCAACATTCCAATTTCGATCTTCTGCACCACCCTCTTTTCTTCTATCATCATTTCTTGAATAATTATTTCTCTCATTGTTGTTGTAACCTCGATCTCGATCATTTCGATTGTTATTATCTCGATATTGATTTCGATCATTATTGTTATATTGCGAACGATTATTGTACGACGATCGGTCACCACCTCTATCACTACCTCGATCTTCTCTCGAAGAGTAATTTCCTCCACCATGAGACGGTTGATCACGGTCTCTGTCCTCTCGCTGATTGTTCGTTCTCTCTCGATCCCCCTAAAATAGTAAAGTATTGTATGAATTAATTTAAGCAAAATGCTGAATGGAATACACAATATTGAGTATCCTAAGTTAAATAAATGATTGTTTAATAAACAAATAACTTACGCCATCTCTATTTCGATCATAATCACTTGTTTGACGGCGATTATTATTTTCATACTGCCGACCGCCCGACCACTCACGCTGAGATTGACGATCATAATCGCCGCGACTTTTCTGACCTGCAAAAGAGAGAACAAATTTATGAAGAAATATCAAAAAGAATAAATTCACTATATAAAAAAAATTGATTTAAATATTTATTATCTGTACCACCATGTCGATCTCGATAATCATCAGAATGTAATGATTGGTTTCCACGATATCTTGGTCGACTAAAACATTCAAATTGATTAACAATTAGAAAAGACTGAATGAGAAAACATTTATTGCGACTCTTGATATAAAAAAAAAGATAAATTACTCGCGATCATTTCGTTCGTCGCGATAGGATCTAAACAAAATTACACTTTAGACAGATCAAATATTATTGGTGCTTTTTCAGTATAGCTCCTTCGAAGTAGCTTCTATTTCAAATCTTCTATCAGTTTAATAGAATTTAATCAATATTTACATCTTGGTTTCATCTGGATCTCGTTCCGCAGCTGATGTCAATTGTGTTTCCTTTAATTTTCGTTCAATTTCAAGTTCTTTAGCAGTTGTATCAACTGGTTTAGCGGCACCAAATATTGATGCACCACGACTAGCCGAAGATGTCTGATGTTGTTCGTTAGTATTAACATGTTCTGCTGCTGATTCCTGTTCTTCTTGTCTAGATTCTTCTGATTCATGTTCTTGAACGATATCACCGGGAGATGATGTTAAATTTGTGTCGTCGGTTGCATTTGTGGTATTGAGACCAGATGCGTTTATAGACGAAGCAGAAGCCGATAAATTTTCCGATTCTTGTAATGGTTTTGTACGCGGTTGTAAATTCAACTTTGGACGTTCTTTAGGAATTTCACGTTCGGGGTCATCTGAGTAGATAAATAAGATAAAGCTTATGGTTTTGCTCTAAATACCGAGGTTTTGGTGGAATATTTTACAGCAAAAGTATGGAATATTTTACAGCAAAAGTATGGAATATTTTACAGCAAAAGTATGGAATATTTTACAGCAAAAGTATGGAATATTTTACAGCAAAAGTATGGAATATTTTACAGCAAAAGTATGGAATAACTTTTCATATATTACCCATTAATAGGTAGTAACTTTATTTATCCATATCTCTACTGAACATTATAGCTGAGGCTGCGGAGAAAGTATAATAGCATAATTGCAAAAAAAAAATACTAGATGAAAAACTTACCACCACTGGGTCGTCTATCCACCAACACTCTTTAACAAAAAAATGAGTTTGTCGTTATTGTTGAAATAATAATCAATTTCCTTCATACCTTGAATCACTATGTCGACCAGCGTATTTTGGTCTATCCAACGGTGGTCGATCATCACGTCGATCATCACGTCGATCATTATCTTTACGTTGATACGAAGAATATCCATGGCGATCTCCATGATTATCACGCTCTGAAATAGATAATTTTAGAACACATGAATGATTATCGTTTAAAACTACATAATCGTATTTAATGGAAATACTTACGACGATTATCATCTCGCCCCCATCCCCCACTTGATCTCTCTTGAGGTCTTCGATCGTCATCACGGTTTCTATCATCATTTCGAGGTTCTTCTGTTCGAGCTAAAACAACAGAATTGAATTTATATAAAATAAAAATCACAATATTAGTCTCTGAGTACATGTACACCCACTTAAAGACCGTAAAACAAAGTCTTACTCGCTCTCTGCCAGGTTTCATTCATTTTTGTATTTTCTGGCCTTTCCTCTCGATTACCACCTGTAAAAAGATAAGCAAGATTTTACTGGGTAAAGACTAAATTTATATTTCACAACGAACCACGTGGAAATCCACCTCTACCATCGGCTTGATCATTTTTTTCTGATAAAGACACTCGGATTTTTCTACTAAAATATTCTTTATCGTTTCGTTTTAATGCTTCAATTAATGCGTCACGTGTTTCAAATTCAACAAATCCTGAACCACGAGAACGATTACCCTCCTTAATAACACGAGCTGATTTTGGCTAAAACACCAAAAGAAAAATGAATTTGAATAAAATTATGTTAAACTTTGAAAATCCACATATTGAATGACTTGTCAAACACTGAAAAATACATACTTGTAAGTCTCCAAATATTTTTTTCAAACTATCGTCGCCTATTTCAAATGATAAATTGCCAACATGCACGGTAAACGGCGGATCTTTGGGCACTTCACTGAGATCGACTTCAGTTGAACCTCTTGGTGCTGTTGGCAGTCTACTGATATCAACAACTAAAATGAGAAACAACCACTATGGGATCATTTTTTTGTCTATTTCAAAAGAGTTTACTTTCAACATCTGCTTCTCCTTGATCAACAATATCGGACCATGTTTCTTTTTTAACGGTCACAAGTTTTGGTACAGAATTATTTTCTGCATTATTTGCCAGAAAAACGTTCAATGGCACCGGCTGTTTTTTCTTTTCCTTCTTTTTTGATGTTGCCATATTTTAATCGAAATAAATGTAGGAAAAATGAATAGAAGAAATAAAAATGGTTTATGCTAAATAAGCCATTTTGATTAAAGTTAAATGGAATAAGTAAAAATAGATGTGTAATTTAATTCTTTTAATATATAAATGACATGTGAGTTTAAAAAATTCATGTAAAGTTCAAAATAAAAAATCAAGTTTTTGTTACGCCAGACGTTTTTGATTTTGAATTAAGATCGATATATAGATAATAAACACAGAATAATCTGAAACAAACCAAAACTATTTAACGCTTGAACTTTTAAATAAGAATGCCCGTCCGACTGCCTAATTATGTTATATGAATGAAAAAATTAAGAATAAACGAATAGAATGTTCTAACAGCCATGATGGAAATTTGATCGCATTTTGCTGTAAACATTTTTTAAAATTTGACTGGTTAAAAAACTGGAACGAAAATGGATGAATACTGTTGAAATACTTCTGATTGTAGGAAAATTTGCATTACGAAAACATTAAAGTATGGAGAAAAATTTTTAGTTTACAAACAAGCGTTAAATCAGTAATGCACCTAGAACTTGGTGCACGCTTGAAGGTTTTGCTATGATTACCACTACTAGACGTAAATGAAATGGAGTGATTTTTCTACAGAGAAACAAATCATAATTATCAGTAAATTTTTAGAAGATTTTCGGGTTAGAGAAATTGATTCTTAATCAAATTTAATAATATATTCGTAGTGTAAGGTGCTCTCTTGTTGTTCAATACTGATGATCTAACGGCCAAAGGATGCCGTTTCTACGGCCTTAGACGTTTTTTTTCGGCAGTTTTTCTTTGCCTTACATACATTGCAAAAGACTTGTAATCAATAAT